GTTTGATTAAATTTTATTTATCTCTTATCATCCTTATGATAAAATATTAATCCACATTAATGGCATAAAATTAAATCATAATTAAACGAACAAAAAAAACAATTTAAGAAAATATTTTGAAAAAAATCTTCAACTGCTCGTTAAATTTTTGTTTCTCAAAAGGTGAAATTTTTATCTTTTATGCTGAATCAGTGAATGTGCATGTTAATTATAATAAATAAAAAAAAAAACAACAACTTTACAAATTGAACTCTGAAACAAGAGCACTTTTTGGAACATTTTAATAATGATCATTTCTATCATTACATTATTTAATGTTTTTGCAACATTGATTTTCTATCTAATTTGTTAATAGAAAATATAAAACCATACTACATGTTAGTATTCGGAAAATTAATTAGTGTGATTAATATGTGAAAATGGTTTAAAGAAAATATATAAAGAGCATCGGTACCAAAGAAATAAGCTAATTATGTGTTAATTAGATTCGTCGTTATTTCATACAAGGTTAGTATAAGCATAGTTGCTTTTCGTAAGAGATAACACAGCACACTAAAAATAATTATGTTAATATAGACTAATCTCTATCAAGCATGCATCAAATTTTATCAAATATAAAAATTGTATTTGTATTTAGCGAAAAATAATTAACTTGAATTATAACATAAGAATGTGCTTTTAAAATTACCAATATCACAACGCCGTGAGTGTGTAAATAATATAGAATGGCTTAAAAACAGAAAACCATCGCTCGCGTGAAATTCGACAATTAGCGAATTAATATCGCGTTTTGTTTGTTGTTAAAAGAAATTACATAAAACAACAGTTGTTGAATTTAATTACTTATTTTCAACATAGTATATGTGTACGTGGATGCAATTAAAAAGCTTTGCTGGTTCATCCGGAGGGATAGAACATGATGTCTTGTGGGAAAATTGTTAGTCTTTGTATCTGATAACTTTTTTTTTTATTTCTGGTATCTTTTTTCTTAGGAATCATTTTTTAGATCTAATAACCAATTACTGTAAATAATTAGATCAATAATCAGTATTTAAAACATTTTCACTCATACTTATTTCTACATACTAATATTGTCATAGCGATTTTGAGGTTATGTTTTTACTTATCGTTGTTTATTTAATACTCAGGTACTATACGGCTACAATTTCACTATTATTCTACGTTAAACACATATCGATGCATAAAAAACGCCATTTAGACAAATATGCATGCTGTAAATAGTTATAATCATTATTAACATTCCATGATAACCAAATACGTCCCATTTAGCCTCTTACTCGAGCAAATCGGCGGTAAACTGGGACGTGTGCTGTCTTGTTGTTCCAGCATTGGGCACTATATTCAAACATGGGAGACAAATTAAGACACTCTTTTTCATGATAAACAGTTATTATTTATAGCAATACTAAAGTACAATTTTATAGAAGAGGTATAGTATGTTAAAAAAAATTTTGACAACATGTTTTAATTTAATTTTTTTATACTTTTATCTAGTTTTTCGCGTTCTCGTCTAATGCATGAAAACTTTCTATATAGTAGGCTGCCCTTACCGAAATTTCTGTGTGATTTTTTTTTAAATTATTTATTTTCTGTGGTGAAATATTTGCATGTGTTCTTATAACTTATAAACTTAAAAATGTAAACCTATTTTTTGTTTCCTATTTATTTTAATGTAGGTACCCAAAAGTAAACAATTTTTGTCTGTCCCAGTATAGGGGTCAGGATTTCGATCTCTCCCAGTATACCTGCGTTCACCTTTTTAAAGTTGGGATTTTTTAAGAATATTTAATATTAAAACTATTGAAAAAATTTCATGTTGTGTAATGAACAACTAACACTTCTGTATAAAACTGTTAAACCAAACTGTTTGTTAAAAAAGGAATTTGAATATTAAAAAAAATATTGTTTTTGCCTTGTAAGGGTGGAAACAACTACCTTTTCTAGAGACATATAAAATTTTCAGCTAAGAAAACATTCAATCTACGTGTTTATGCAAAAAGAAAAGATAAATTTATTTCATTTATTTATATCGCTAAAAACTAATGTCTATTGTATGTAAGAATATTAGAATTTATTTATTTAATTTATCGATGGGTAAGTATTAAATGCGAGTAATTGAATTTATCAATATTTCCCATCCAACACACGATTTCTAAGGCAACTCGAACTTTTCAGTAAAATCTACAGTTTGTAGAAACATCGTCATACGTAGCAATTAAAAAAATGTGCCACCTTGATCGGGACATGATCCTGGAACTCTTTTCTTGCCAGAAAAGTGCCTTACGAATTTTGCCACCGTTGTCTTGGCGACTCCTCTTCTCAATCGCTATACTTCATACTTTTTCGAGCTACCTTGGCAATCGTGTGTTGGATGAGAAATGTCGATAAATTCAATAACTTGCACCTAATGCGTTATTACTGCATGCGTTATATATATAATAT